AAATAACTACCTTCTCATTTCAAAATTATTTAAAATTACTAATTTTAATATTTAATGAATTCTATTTTTTTTTTGTGCTGACGTGTAGGCGTTTTCACCTCTCCTATATATATATATATAAGATTACTATTATTATTATTTTATTATATTGTGGTTATATTGATTTTTTTTCTAAAATGAAATTTTTTAAAGAAAATTCTACTTACGAAAGAATGTAAAAGAAAACGTTTTTATATTACTACTATATAGAAGAGGCTAGGGAAGCAGCTATTCGTCAACATGCTTGCTTCCCTACGGACATTTTCTTAATATTTTCTTAATATCATGCTTGAAATGTGCTGTACTTGGCAATTTTATAATTGCACTTTCTTAATATAGGACATAAAAGTCCTTCTAACATTTTCCTTTCTCAGCCGCAATATTGGCCCCAATTTCCAAGTAGGTGGATCATTCTTTTTCTTCCTTTTTCACTCCATGTTACTAATAGTTAAGTAATACATATGGGTCCCACTTTAAAACATTAATTACTTTATTTGTAATCCAAAAAAAAAATTGCCTTTAGAGTGAAAAAATAATGAATATTGGAAAATTATGTCTTTTTAAAAAAATTATATAAATACTACTATAAATTATAATAATTAATAACTTAAGTATTAAAAAGTTATATAAAAAAATTTGATTGACTCTCGAAATTCTATTGATACCACATAAAATGAGTTAGATGATAAATATATACTGTTTAAAAATGACGTAAAAAGTATTATAAATCACAATAATTGACAATTTAAAAAAAATTAAAATACATACAAAAAATTACTTGACTCTAAAAAAATCTATCAATGCCACATAAATTGGGACATGAAAAGTAACATATATATTATTTAAAATTACGTTTAAAAGGTACTATAAATTATAATAATTTACAACTTAATATATGTAAAAGACATATAAAAAAAGTGGTTAATTTTAAAATTCTATAAACAAAGAAAGTACAATATATTATTTTTAAAATTACGTAAAAAGGTACTAACAACATATAATATTTTTAAAATCATATAAAAATTTGGATAACTTCTCAAGTTTCATGATATCACGTAAATTGAAACCAAAAAAATTAATATAACAACTTAAATATTTAAAAGTTATATAAAAAAAATCGATAGACTCTCAAACTTCTATTGGTACCACATAAAATGGGTTAAATGATAAATATATATAAAGAAAGTATAATATATTATTTTTAAAATTATGTAAAAAAGTACTAGCAAATTAAAATATTTTAAAAATCATATAAAAATTTGAATAACTTCTCAAATTTCATAATATCACATAAATTAAAATAAAAAAATAATATATATTGGGCTCGTACTGGCACGGATCCTGTATCTAGTATAAAAATAAGGTCTTATAGTACATTTCATTTTCAGATTAATGATAAAGGTCTAATTACTATTTTGGAACATCACACGTGAAGTCATATTAACTATTTTAAGCATCATAAATATTGAATACTTACATATATCATGAATGCATTATAATATACTCCATAAAAAATATGAAGGCCAATTAAATCTAACCCTTGCAAAACTATTTGAAAACACTCCATAAAAGGTATTGATATAAAAAATTAAACTTTGAGCAATTCAACTGCTTCGAAATAACATCAAAAATGTTGTTTAGATTTTTCTTTATAAAAAATTAATTAATGTTAGAGTGTAAATAAAGGCACGAAGTTTCGAATTAAAAACTGCTAAGAAAAATATTAAAGTAAATTTTAGATAATTGATCACATCGTACCTATAATAAAATGCAGGTAGAAATGTTGATTTGTCCCATTGGCATGTCTGTTAGATCAACATGAATTACCTAATTTGCTGTAATTCATGTTGATCTAACAGACATGCCAATGGGACAAATCAACATGAATTACAACAAATTAGGTATAAAGTCATTTCCTCTCCATTATTGAGATTTGAAAATAAAGAGAACAAACTGAAAAACAGATTGAAAATAGTAGACAATAGATTTATTCAAGAAAAAGACTCGAGAAGTTTTAACTGTTTTACAGTTACATCTCAGAATTTTAAAATTGATTTAAAATTATTTTCATTTAATTAATTATAATTTATATTTACTTAAATTTAATTATTTAAAAATGTATTTTTTGAGGTGCTGACATGTGGCAATTTTTCCTCTCCTATTATAGATATATATATAGATAGATGAGAAATCATTTTGATACAATTTCTGACTAACAAGTTGTGGAAAAGATTCTAATTAGTGTCACAGAAAAGTATGAGTACATTGTTGCTATCACAGAGGAGATGAAAGATCTTTCCAAGCTTTTCATCAAAGAGCTAGTTGGATCATTTCATGCACACGAGAAGCGGAGATTTTTTCATGAAGATCAACCCAAAGAGACAGCTTTCCAGTCCAGAACAAATGAGAATTTTCAAAATTTCTCAAAAAATCAACAAAAGAAGAATTACAATCCAAAAAAGAAGCAGGATCATGATGGTTCTTCTAAGAAGGTTGATGAAAAAGATGAGAAAAGTTCTAGTCGTTTTTGTAATGTTTGCAAAAAGACTAATCACACTGCAGAAAAATGTTGGCACAAAGGCAAGCTCCAATGTAACTTTTGTAAAAAGTTTGGCCATATTGAGAAGGATTGATGGCACAAGAAATGGGAGCAAGCAATTTTTTGTGAAAAACAAGAGGAAGAAAGGGAAGAAAACCATTTCTTTGCTTCTAAATTTGATGCTTCAACAAAAATCAATGAATGGTATGTTGATAGTGATTGTAGCAATCATATTACTGGAGATAAAAAGGCTTTCCTCTCAATTAATAATAGCATCACTACTAAAGTGAGAATGGGGAATGGATCCTTAGTTGATGCAAAAGGTAAAGGTACCATTTCGATCTACATGAAAGGGAGCGGTAAGCAAATTCATGATGTTCTTTATGTTCCTGACTTGGAAGAAAATTTGCTTAGTGTTGGTCAACTCATGAAAAATGGTTATTCTCTTGTGTTTAGAGATAATTATTGCATGATTTATGATAAAATTAAGCCAAATCAAGTCATTGTTAAAGTAAAGATGATAAAAAGAAACTTTCCTTTGCAATTTCATTACAATGCATTAAAAAATGAAATTGTAGATGATTCATGGCTTTGGCACACAAGATTTTGTCACTTGAATTTTCATGGTTTGAATCTTCTCAAGCAAAAAGACATGGTGCAAGGCCTTCCTGAGATACATACTGAGGTGGATCCATGTGAAAGTTGTATAATGGGAAAGCAACATAGAAAGTCTTTTCCAAAAGGAATGTCTTGGAGAGCAAGTGTACTTTTGGAACTAATCCATACCGACATTTGTGGACCAATGAAGACTCCATCTATTGAAAGTCAAAGGTACTTTCTAATCTTTATTGATGATTTTTCAAGAATGACTTGGTTTATTTCTTGAAAGAAAAGTCAGAAACATTTGCTACATTCAAGAAATTTAAAGCCCTTGTTGAGAAGCAAAAAAGTTGCAACATCAAAACCATTCACAGTGATAGAGGAGGTGAGTACACAAGTCAAGAATTTGAAGAATATTACAAAAATGAAGGCATTCAGAAAGCAACTTACAACAGGGTACACTCCTCAACAAAATGGTGTATCTGAAAGAAGAAATAGAACAATGGTTGAAATGGCCAGAACTATGATGAATGAGAAAGGGCTGCCAAAATTTTTTTGGACAGAAGCAGTACATACAACGGTGTACATCCTTAACAGGTGCTCGACAAAGACATTAAAAGACAAGACACCAGTTGAAGCTTGGAGTGAAATGAAACCTTATGTAAGTCATTTTTAAAAAATTCGAGTGTATTTGTTATGCTCATATACCTGCTGAGAAAAGAACAAAATTGGTGAAAAAAAGTCAAAAATATATATTTCTTGATTATAGTGATGTAACAAAAGACTATAGGCTTGTTGATGTCAAAACTAACAAACTTGTTGTTAGTAGAGATGTTATTTTTGATGAAAAAACAGCATGAAATTGGAAGGATAAAAAGATAGAGAATACTTCTATCATTTCTTTAGATGTGTCAAATCAAGAAGATGATGAGAAAGAGGAAGATGTCCTTCAAGGGGGAGAAATCCCAGATTCAGATGATGAAGAACCACCTCCCAGAGGAACAAAAATATTTAGTGACATTTATCAGAGATGTAACTTTGCCGGTGTTCACCCAAAATATTATGAGGAGGCAATAAAGCATGATGTTTGGAAGAAAGCCATGGAAGAAGAAATTCGAATGATTCAAAAAAATAATACTTAGGAGCTTGTGGCTATACCAAAAGAAAGAGAAGTTGTAAGTCTAAAATGAATTTATAAAATCAAACTCAATCAGGAAGTATTCAAAAACACAAAGCAAGGTTGGTTGCTAGAGGTTTCACACAAAAACCAGGTATTGATTTTTATGAAACTTTCTCTCCAGTTGCTCGTCTTGAGACAATTAGAACCGTAATTGTTGTTACTGCACAAAAGAAATGGAAGATAATTCAACTTGATGTTAAATCTGCATTTCTTAATGGAAAACTTGATGAAGAGATTTATGTTGAGCAATCTCAAGAAATTTTTGTTCAGGAGGAGAAGAGAAAGTGTACGCTAAAAAAGCTCTTTATGGGCTGAAGCAAGCTCCAAGAGCCTGGTACAATGAAATTGATACATACTTGTTGAAAAATAATTTTCAGAGAAGTAAAAGTGAAGCCACTTTGTATGTGAAGAAAGAACATGACAATATTATCATTGTTTGTCTCTATGTGGATGATCTACTCTTTACAATAAATGATGTGAAGATGATACAACAATTCAAGCAAGTTATGATGTAAGCCTATGAAATGAGTGATCTTGGGTTGCTAAATTATTTCTTGGGCATCGAAGTTTCTCAAGTGAAAAAAAGGAATTTTCATTTCTCAAAAGAAGTATACTAAAAGTGTTCTTCAAAAATTCAAAATGATGGATTGCAGGTCTGTGGCCATACCATTAGCAGCAAATGAGAAGTTCAGAAAAAATGATGGAGAAAATAAAGCTAATAGCTCACTTTATAGGAGCTTGATTGGAAGTTTGCTATATCTTACTTCAACAAGGCCTGACATTATGTTTGTTGCTAGTTTATTATCCAGATTCATGCAAGAACCAAGCCAAGTGCATCTTGGAGTTACAAAGTGTGTTCTACGCTACTTGCAAGGAACAATGGATTATGGGATAATGTACAAATTTGGTGGGAATTTGAACTTCATTTGTTATTCTGATAGAGATTGGGCTGGAAGTATAGATGACATGAAGAATACTTCTGGTTATGCTTTCTTATTTAGATCAAGTATTTGTTCTTGGTTATCAAAAAAGTAAAGTGTTGTTGCTCAATCCACTGCCGAAACAGAATATGTCTCAGCAGCTAAGGCTACTTCTCAATCTATTTGGCTTAGGAGAATATTTGAAGACATTGGTGAAAAATAAAACAGAGGGACTGTTCTGTATTGTGATAACAAATCAGCAATTGCAATTGCCAAGAATCCAGTCAACCATGAAAGATCAAAGCATATTTTCATCAAGTATCATTTTATCCGAGAAACACAAGAGAAAGGCGAAATTCAGTTGCATTAGTGCCAGACAGGAGAACAACTTGCTGACATCTTCACCAAAGCACTTCCTAGAGATTTTTTTTGCTATCTTCGAGAACACATTGGAGTTGTCAAGCAAATGCATTAAGGGGGAGTGTTGCTCCCAATTGCACACACAAGTGTACGTGGTCGCGTAAGTAATATAGTGGCTCTTAAAAGAATCAGATTATCGAACCCAAAGGACTTGTCAATTAACTATTTTTTTACTAAATTATACTCGTCTAATTATTTATTTAAGAGTGCCAAAAGAAAAGAATGCAAGAACAAAATAATAAAATTACTTACAATAGTTGGAAAATTATAAGGCTGCAGCATGTGAATCTCATGTATCATATTCTTGGCTTAGAACTAATTTTAGTTGTCAAATTGCTGATTTATAGGGTTAATTGTATAAGTCGGGCTACACACCTCTCCTCGCCTACTCCAGTTAGCTATCTAACTACATCGTTGAGCGGGGATAAATAAACTAACTGCGAGCATTTATATTTCATCCTATTTCGTAACCAAGCAAGGTGTTCGTCTGGGGTCACTCCTGAACACTAATCACCTCAATTTAATAAGTGTACCGAGCTTTCTATATTCCCTGGTCTATCTAACCCCTCATCTCTCAATTTTAGAATTAGACAATAGATTTATCTTATGGTGCACAAACATAAAATACTAAAACAAGAATATAGAAGTAACTTATAATGACAACCAAGAATTAATTCATAAAGCCTTTAAATAATCAACAATCGATTTGTAGCTACAGCCCCAGAACAAGGGAGTTTAGCCACTAATCTCTAACAAGGGAGTTTAGCCACTAATCTCTAACAAAAGAAAAAGAAGAAAAGAACCCTAAAAAATATTGACAACTTTATACTTGATGCCCTATAAACTTGTTGCTCCCAATTGCATACGCAAGTGTACGTGGTCGCGCAAATAATATAGTGGCTCTTAAAAAAACCAGATTATCGAACCCAAAGGACTTGTCAATTAACTATTTTTTTTTACTAAATTATACTGGTCTAATTATTTATTTAAGAGTGCCAAAAGAAAAGAATGCAAGAACAAAATAATAAAATTACTTACAATAGTTGGAAAATTTCAGGCTGCAGCATGTGAATCTCATGTATCATATTTTAGGCTTAAAACTATTTTTAGTTGTCAAGTTACTGGTTTATACTGTTAATTGTAAGATTCGGGCTACACACCTCTTGTCGCCTACTCCGGTTAGCTATCTAACTACATCGTTGAGCGGGGATAAATAGACTAACTGGTGAGCATTTATATTTCATTATATTTCGTAACCAAGCAAGGTGTTCGTCTGGGGTCACTCCTGAACACTAATCACCTCAATTTAATGGGTGTACCAAGCTCTCTATATTCCCTGGTATATCTAACCCCTCCTCTCTCGATTTTAGAATTAGACAATAGATTTATCTTATGGTGCGCAAGCATAAAATACTAAAACAAGATTATAGAAGTAAATTATAATGACAACCAAGAATTGATTCATAAAGCCTTTAAATAATCAACAATCGATTTGTAGCTATAGCCCCAGAACAAGGGCGTTTGGCCACTAATCTCTAACAAAAGAAAAAGAAGAAAAGAACTCTAAAAAGTATTGACAACTTTATACTTAATATCCTATGATTGATCTTCCCCTCTGTCTGATCTCCCAAAATATTTATTTCTATGAATTATTTATAGATGTAGAAAATTCTAAATAAAATAACTGAGTTCAAAACAAATTGACAACCAAAACCAAGCGGAAGTCGAATTCCAGTACGCGTGAAATTGTATCCTTGCGCGTTTAGCTTTCGCCGCTTCAAACTTCAGAATCTGACACGTGGCAGTAAGATTGTTTCAATTTCGCTATTTGCTGCACCTTTTTCTTTATACATTATTATATTGAATTTTTTCCATTAAGCTGTCTGAATGATTTCCTTCTATAATTTTTCGTCTTTAATTTATTTTAGCTTCAAACTTCTTCAAGTTTACATCAATTTAATTCTACAAATAAAATACACTATTTAGTACAATCCATAAAAATCATGCTTAAAAAGGATAGATATAAATAATAAATGTGAGGTAAATAATGATTAAAAATATGTATTTTTGGCCTCACATCAACACCCCACACTTAAGCTCAAACGTGCTCCTTAGCTCCAAGTTTCGGATACTTAGACTTCTCCAAAACCTGTAAAAACAAAACCAAAAGAAAAAAATGACACTAATAAAATAAGAAGCTACACTATAAATTGGGTTGCCTCCCAATATGCGCTTAATTTAACGTCGCGGCACGACACAAGTAAATTTACTACTTTTCTTTCCACTTTGAACTTATGAATTGTACCCCTAACTTTGCATCAACTTTTCTGCTCCTCTCTAGGGGCGGTGGTATAAAGAAAAAGGAACCAAGTAATATATGTCGCATCTTACACTTCTTGGTCCTTATGTGAGGAATGTCGTTTTGTCTGCGTGGACTAAAAAACTTTAGGATATAGGGGTCTTGTATCTCATCTATACACTCATCCATTAGTTCAGATGATATAGAAAAGTGTTTTGAATGAGATTCAAAATGCCTCAACTCTAAAGCAACATTATTTACAACATTCTCACTTTTGTATTCTTTCTCAACATCGATATTAAGGAATAAGCTATAGTTGAATGGTTGAAATTCCACTTTTTGTTCCACTAGTTGGTCATCATCCACGACAATTGGTGATTGGACCGTAGACGCCTCAATCGTTTTGTTCAAGTGAGCCTCTAAGTCATGAAATATCTGAGCCAAATTGATCTATTTCTTGTGTGAGATCAACTCTTCATTCAATTAGTTGGGTTGTCATGTATGTCAGACCATCACAGATAGACTCTTGAAACTTTAGAAGTTGAGTTTGTTCCTGTAGCCAAGATTGGGTCACTAGCTTTGCTTTTCCATAACTTTCTCCTTGTTGGGCTTCAATCTCTTCAAATTTAGCTAGGACTGTTTCTAATAAATAGCGTCAAGCAAATCCAGCAGTTTTATGATTGTTTTTGCTTTTCCACACATTCAAACATTTGTTCAACGATTTTTGAATTAACTTTGTCCAGCATATCCGTACATTCCATAAGTAAATTCGCATTGTGCGCCTCTTGTTTTGCATTCTCCACTTCGTCGCCCCTACCAACATCACAAATAACAGAAGAATCATAATAGAGGTTCGGGGAAGGGAATAAGATTTAGGACAACCATTCCAATGAATATATTGACAACCACATATATCACATAAATGACATTTATCACCCAACCACGATATATCCCAATCATCCATATCAATAAGAGTATCAAATTATTCAAAGAAAGAAAAAATAATAATTAATTTTTAAGAGAAAAAAAATAACTAATTAAAAAAAAAAAGTATAACCTAGAAGAATAGTTAATTTCTAAGTCCCCGGCAGCGACACCAAAAATTTGTTGCTCCCAATTGCACACGCAAGTGTACGTGATCGCGCAAGTAATATAACCAGATTATCAAACCCAAAGGACTTGTTAATTAACTATTTTTTTACTAAATTATACTGATCTAATTATTTATTTAAGAGTGCCAAAAGAAAAGAATGCAAGAACAAAATAATAAAATTAATTACAATAGTTGGAAAATTCTAGAGCTGCAGCATGTGAATCTCATGTATCATATTCTTGGCTTAGAACTAATTTTAGTTGTCAAGTTATTGGTTTATAGGGTTAATTGTATGAGTCGGGCTACACACCTCTGGTCGCCTACTCCAGTTAGCTATCTAACTACATCGTTGAGCGGGGATAAATAGACTAACTGACGAACCTTTATATTTCATCCTATTTCGTAACCAAGCAAGGTGTTCGTCTAGGCGTCACTCCTGAACACTAATCACCTCAATTTACCGAGCTTTTTATATTCCTTGGTCTATCTAACCTCTCTTCTCTTGATTTTAGAATTAGACAATAGATTTATCTTATAGTGCGCAAGCATAAAATACTAAAACAAGAATATATAAGTAACTTATAATGACAACCAATAATTAATTCATAAAGCCTTTACATAATCAACAATCGATTTGTAGATACAGCCCCAGAACAAGGGCGTTTAACCACTAATCTCTAATAAAAGAAAAAGAAGAAAAGAACCCTAAAAAATATTGACAACTTTATACTTGATGCCGTATGATTTCTATGGACTATTTATAAAGGTAAGAAACTCTAAATAAAATAATTGAGTCCAAATCAAATTGATAACCAAAACCAAGCGAAACTAGAATTCCTATTTCAACGCAGGACAGTAACCGCCTCACAAATCTGCCGCTATTATTGCATTCAACCGCTGCCAGGTGGCAACAAGGATTCTTGAATTTTCGCTGTTTGTTGCAACTAACTGCACTTAATATATTTATACATTATAATATTGAATTTAATTCATTAAGGTGTCTGTTTGATTTCCTTCTTCAACCTTTCATCTTTTGTTCGTTTTAGCTCTAAATTTCTTTATTTTCCCACCAATTTAATTCTACAAATAAAATACACTATTAAGCACAATCCATAAAATTCATGCTCAAAAATGACAAATATAAATGATAAATGTGAGGCAAAATAATGATTAAAACTATGTATTTTTGGCATCACATCAGAGAGTGTTGGAATTAATGCATCAATGTTTAGTCTTCCGAAATTGTCTCCTAGTTTTTCAAGAAGTCTTTTAAAATTTCGTAATACATGTATCTAGTAAATTGTGATACATGTATCTAGTCATTTGTGCAAGACCTTTGGTTTACATTTTACTAGTATAAATAGAGATGTAATTGATGATTCTAATCATCTCAAGTGGCCTTAAGTAGCCTATATAAAACTTGAGCATTCTCTAAAGATAATATTCTCTTTCTATATTTCCTACATACTCATGGTACACACATACAAGAGAAATAAAATGTACCAGACATAGTAGCTGAGCCAACCATTAGTAAATCTATAACGACATGGTACTTGAG